ATTGCTGGCTGGCTCATGTTTGTGTTACCTTAAGGGGCTCTCAACTAGTCATGTCACACTTATCATACAATCTAGCTGAAACCTGTAATGGTATGTTGAACCCGTTCAATTTTTCACCACTGCCTAGGCACCACTCCTCCAGACATCAGTTCCATGCACTGTATTTCACAAAGATTTGATACTTTGGAACTATTTAAAAAAAAATAACTTAAAAAAAGGTAACTTGAATTTACAATGTGCATGAAATAGTGAAACACCAGATTCAGATTAATTGTATGGTACATCCTTTCCCTACCTTCATATGCACTTTGACCTGTGTTACAACCCATTTAACTACCCAATAAACTACCCATTTGAGTAGTCTTAATGATCACAGAGGGGCCAATCCTGCATTGCACACATTAAGTATAGTTATTTCTGCACAGAGTCCCATTGACACTAGTGGAACTCTGTGTAGGAGTAACTGAACTCATGGGCATAGGCATTATATTTTGGAGGAAAGGGCCATTAAGTGCCTAATCCAGCATCCACTGAAGTCAAGAAAAAGGCTCCCATTGTTTGAAGTGGGAGTTGGATTGGGATTTTAGGGCCTTATCCTTCAGGTTTTCACATGTGTTTAATTTTACACATTGATCTAATTTATCATTGGAACTACACACATGTAAAATTAGTCTTTGCAGTATCAGGGCCTGGCACTGTGAGATCTTCAGGCAAGATACCTTAGACCCAAGTCTCCAGTGTCTTGCACCCTATGCCAGAGCAAAATGAGTACAAAATAGGTATAAATAGGCTGCCAGATCAGTATGGTCTTGTTTTACCCCCACTTTACAGAGATGCAAATGATTGCCCAGGGTGCAAGGCCAAGGTGAATCAGGCCCTGTGTACAGTTGAAAAGCACCATCCACACCACTAATGCAATACCAATAATAATGTAGAATGCTGTGTGGTTCTTAAAATTGAATTTTATAACTGTAGCTTTAATCACAAGGAAATAATTATGTAATATTGTAAATAAAACTTACCTGTCCCTGGGAGGTGGTTTGCAGGCTGCATCTGCATTCTATGGTCAATATACCATTCCTCTGGGTAAAAGTTTGAGGTCTGTAGCTGATCTGGACTTTTTGGGAGCTCTAAAAGAAAAGCAGGTAAATCTTAAAATACATTATTTTTTTTAAATGCATTTGCAGGTCACCTTTTACTCGCCAGGGACGGCTCCAGCATTTCTGCCGCCCCAAGCAAAAAAAAAAAAAAAAGCCATGATTGCGATCGGCAACGGCAATTGGAAAAAAATAAAAAGCCGCGATCGGCGGCGGCAGTTCAGCGGCAGATCCTTCGCTCCTAGAGGGAGTGAGGGACCTGCTGCCCCTGAATTGCCGCAGGTGCTGCCCCTCTCCCTTGGCCGCCACAAGCACCTGCTTGTTAAGCTGGTGCCTGGAGCTGGCCCCGTTACTGGCTTTTATAAGTTTAAGTCAAACCATTCTCATTACTCAAATGCTGTTTTTTAAATCTCTAATGCATGTTTAACTGGTAATATTAAAAATGAGTGTGCCAACTGCCATTGATATGCGATGTAGGGCATTGCTCTTTTGAACCCATTTTCATGTCACTGGCCCTGCTAAATTCAGCCATTTCAGTTACTCTTAATTGGCCTTGTTGCATATAGCAGTTGAGAGTGGCTACAGTTTATGCCATGAATTGTAATAACAACAAAGTCATAATGGCATAGATCCATAATGGTTCTAAGTGTATATGCGCAATTATTAGCATTGAAGGCCAAAAAACATTTCAAATCACTGTCACAAATTCTGCTGCCCTTCCTCATGCTGAAGTATTACCTTACTCCCCAGGTAATCCCATTAGGTCCAGTTTGGTTTGCCGTTCTCTCTCATGCTATTACTGTACAGCATAAGTACTCCCATTGGGCCTGATTCTGCACCCTCTCTTACTCATGTTGAGAGTGACCTTACTCCTCTGGACTGAATCCTCAGTTGCACTGAGTTTCTGTTTGATGAGTAGTTGTTTAGGTGTTGAACTGGCTCCCAGCACAAGTTAGAGTAGCCTCTGGCCCAGGCTGGCTGGGAGAGGAGGGGTGGGGGAGTGAGTGATATATAGCTAGCTACTCTGACTTAATGACATCGTAAGCTTTTCACGCACAAGAGGAATCCTCAACTGCCTTAAATGCTTTATGGTCCTGCTTTCACATCTGGTAGCACACATTTTAGCTGGGGCCAAGGATCTGGCCCACTGACTTCACTGGGACTTCTCACAAAGGAAGATACTGTTCAGTATGAATAAGGGTAGCCAAATCTGACTGAAAAAGAAACCCAAACACTTTCTAACTCCTTGTGGTAGAAAACAGTAATATTGTTCTTCATTATTAAAAGAAATCAGAAGTCATTTGTACTATGGACAAAGTATTTCATGGCAAGTTCCAGTAAGAGAAAATGCTTACATCTGATTGATAAAAGTGTTGTATATCAGTCTAAATGCAAGTCAGCCTCCAACAACAGTGACACTGGCTGTCATACTATAATAATTAGAGATTGGCCTATACCAAAAGCCTGAATCGGAACATGCCTGAATGTTGGATATAAATTTGCATCCTAACTGGCCAAACCAAACCTCAATCCTAAGAACCCCTGACATGTGGAGCTATCTGGATCCAAATCTTGTAGTTAGGGCCTAGCTCCAATAATTAGTATTATTCTTTTTAAATATTGGTGGAAATCACACTTTTCATCATTTGCAGCTGGATGTGCATGAGTACCCTTTCCTCCAGCCTAGTGCTCCCAAAGAACAGATAATTAAGAATAAAGAAAACAGGCCCAGGGTGAGTGCCAAACTAAAAGTCCTCATGCAAAACGTGTAGTAGTCACAATAGTAACAGTAGTGATGATGGCAACAATCATTTCTAGCCTAGCAGGGTTTTTTTATGAAAATGTTAGTAAAAGGTGCAGAGCTGGAAACAAATGACTTTACTTCAGTCCCTTTATTGCAAAAACATAATGAAGTGCCAGCCAAGAAGTAAATTCATTGCAAATTGTATTAAAGGTTTTGGACCAAAGTGAAGCTGTTACAGACTACATCTGTAAAAATTGTGTAATTATTATGGGTGGGTAAAAGTCTGGCAAGAATTATTTTCTTAAGTAAAGCCTAAAAGAGAACAGATGTGCTGTAACTGACACATTTTTTTTTTGCCAGCAACTAATTCTGTACAAATATTTGTTCTAATTTATCATATTATTCAATGTATTTCAAATTAATGAGACAACTGTTAATTTTTTTTCACTGTCTCTGTTTTAATTCTTAAGAAAAGAAAGAATTGTCTCAAGGAAAGAAAATTAATTTGTTGTATTGGGCATTGAAAACCCAAGTCTTTTGTTAAACAAAGAAGAAAACATATATTTGGAGGGAGAACCAGGGCATTATAGTTAAATGTCAAGGTCTGCTAAAATCAAAGGTAAGAGGGGCAAGTGACAGTGAAATTTAAGTAGAAAACCATAAATGTAAAGTAACACTACTATTTTGGGTATGGGGTGGAATGAGAAAAATATCCAAAGACAAAGATAGGCAGTTTGGGTCTGGAAGTAATTATGGTCAAGTGAAGACAACTGAATTCCATATTACCTTGGTGGATGTCTGTAAAGGCAGTTTGGGGAGGTATTTTGGTAAGGTTTACTTTTTGGAGCTTAGCAACATAAATTTGTTGTCACTGAACTATTAAATAAAATAGACACATTGGCAAAGAGCACATAGCAGAGGGATGGAACTGATTAAGGGACAGCCTATGAAATAATAGCTTAAATGGGCCCAGTGCAGGATTTTAATATCCCATGACAACACTCAATTGTCAAATTCAGCTAGAGTGTCCAGGATGCTACTAAAATTAAGCCAGAAATTCCTAGATTTATTCTACTTTTTTTCTACAGTTAAGAACAGGAAATGCCAGTAAGCTGTGAGAATCTAAGTAAGAAATAAGAAACTGGGAAGAAAAGAGGATGGCCTAACATTTTATGAGATTTCTGCCATTAAATCTATAACAAATGTCTTTCACCTACACACGATAAAGAGGCAATGTGGGATTTTAATTGGACTTTTGGCTTTTCTTCATTTGATTTAAACCTAGGTAGAATTTCAAACAATAACACTGGAACACCTGGTTAACACGTTAGATGATATGTAGAGTTGTAAATTGTGGTTTTAATAGGTGTTCACTAGGGGATTGAAAAGGGTCCCATTGTTCGACTTGGCAGATATTAAAAAAAGTTCATGAACTACTGGGGTTTAAAACCTGCTCACATGATTTTAATATTACTCCAATAATGTAATTTGATAATTTTACCTATGTTGTGGCCAATTTATGGATGGAGACTCTAATGGCCATGTTATGTAATTACAATGACCTGATACAACACTAACCCCCAACTTTCAATTTAATTTATTATAACAGTCCAATTTAGAGGACAGCAATGGTTACTGATATCCAAAAACTATCATCTTATATGGGCATAATCAAAGAAATACATAGTGGAGTTCTGCTCCCAAGAATAAACACAACCTACATATTTTCTGCACATAGCTCAGCTGTGAGGACTTTGGAAGACAAATTTTCTTTTTCTATTTAAGAAAAAGGAGTCCCCACATTTAATTAAAGTGATTTGTTGTTTGTCACTTTAAAATATATTCTCATCCATTTAACCATGTTTTGAGATGCTCAGTCTCAGATGTTGTGCCAAAGAGGGACTGGGCTTATTTGATATTTTAAAGTGATGGATTTCAAAAGTATTGTTTTGTGTTTGCCCTTGTCCTTATAGTGGCAAAATTCCACCCATACTTCTTGTGAGGAGATGTTTAAAATAGAGACAGTCAACTTCTCTTTTACTTTACTCTCCCAGCTTTAGATTCCCATCACATTTGGAGCCATGATTTAACTTTACCTGTTTTTTGCCCTTAGTTCTTTTTCTCCCTGTTTGAGATTCCTCCTCTGATCTCCAATAATTAAAAACAATAATGATCTTTTCCCTTTGCACCCAACCTTCACCTCGGCTTCAGTTTCCCACTCATCCCCATTGTTATCCCTACTGCCTGAAAATATTTAATAGCTAAATGTGACCTCCCTTAGATTCTGATTCAGCAAAGCATTTAAGAATTTGCTTAACTTTAAAAACATTCTTAAATGCTTTGCTGAATCAGGGCCTCTTCTCATCTAATTGCTGTTCTCCCATGGTTACTTTAACTATATGCTTACAGAAAAATCTGAGCAGACAGCTCATAGACTCATAGACTTTAAGGCCAGAACGGACCATCGTGATCATCTAGTCTGACCTCCTGTCCATTGCAGGTCACAGAACCTCACCCACCCACTCCTGTAACTATATGCTTACAGAAAAATCTGAGCAGACAGCTCATAGACTCATAGACTTTAAGGCCAGAACGGACCATCGTGATCATCTAGTCTGACCTCCTGTCCATTGCAGGTCACAGAACCTCACCCACCCACTCCTGTAATAGATCTATCACCTCTGACTGCATTAGTGAAATCCTCAAATCATGATTTAAAGACTTCAAGTTACAGACAATTCACCATTTACACTAGTTTAAACTGGCAAGTGACCCACGCCCCAAGCTTCAGAAGAAGGCTAAACCCCTGCCAATATGACCTAAGGGAAAATTCCTTTCTGACCCCAAATATGGCAATCAGTGAGAGCCTGAATATGTGGGTAAAATTCACCAGACAGACTCCTGGGAAAGAATTCTTTGTAGTAACTCAGACACATCTAGTGTCCCATCACTGGCCATTGGAGATATTTGCGGCTACCAGTCACAGATAGGCTACATGACATTGCAGGCAGTCTCATCATACCATCTCCTCCATAAACTTATCAAGCTCAGTCTTGAACCCAGTTAGGTTAGCTCATTGATGATGGCAGCAGTTTCTATGTCCCATATAGTTGATGCATTCCGCATAAGGGAGCAAAGCAAACTGGATGCAGGAGATAAGTGAAGGGGTAAGTCTCTGCATTTCATGGGAGAGTTAGCTGGTCTACTCTAGACTTTTATCCTGAAATTTTCCCACCATTGGTACCATCAGTTCCAGTGGTAGCAATGGGTGCCCAAGGATAGACAGGGC